ATAGTCAAAACCATCCTTGGCCTTTCTCTGCCTTGGGTTCCCAGAGCTCTGTGCACATTTCTCTAGAACTCCTGCTTGCCATGTAACATCCATCTCCAAGTTCATTTATTGAGCAGACAGACATCAGGTCTGGGTCTTTTTCACTCTGAAATCCTCACTCGATAAATCCAGCTCCTGCCCCCAATGCCCTCCACCACAGTATTTAACTTCTTGACAAAAAGCCAGGCTTTTGGGCTCTGGGACAGAGTAAGTAAGCCACACCAACTGCCCTCAAGCAGCTTATGAAATTAAAAGTCATAACCACTGCTCTATATTGTTTTTACATAAACAATAATAGATAACATCTATTGAGCACTCGTAGGCTCACTGTTTTAAGCCCTATACACACATTATTTCATTTAACCCTCCCAATCATTCTGTGAGGCACATTACTATCTCCATTTTACAGATGAGAAAACTGAGGCACTCGCTTCATCAAGGTCACAAAACAGTATCAGGACCCAGGAAGCCTGATTCAGAAGTTTGCATTCTTAACCACTATGCTATTATGGACAGGGTGCTGCAGGGACATAGAGCAGGAGTATCTAGTCTTAGGGGCTGAGGGAAGGGTGACCCAGGGGCGGAGCTACCGGAGCAGAGCACTCTGACCAACAAGTAGAAGGTAGCCTGGCAGATAAGAGAAGAGGCTTTCTATGTAGAGGGGCTGGTGTCTGCAAAAACAAAGAAACAGGAAATAGCAAGGTGTGGGCAAGTGCAGCCTGCAGTGCCATCTTACTGCACCTTAAGGTCCCCACAGGAGACTCCGATCAGAGAGAGCACTGCAAATTGCGCTGGGAACTCAGCCTTTCCCATGGGTAATGGGAAGCCAGCAAAGGGTGGTAAGCAAGGTAGTGACACTGTGAGACTTGTGTTTTAAAGGGATCACAAGAGTTACAGTTTGGAGAGTGGGTGCAGGCAGCCAGGATTGGAAGTTGCTGGGAAGCCACTGCAATCATCTGGTGAGAAACACACCAACAAAAGTGGTAACAGAAAAAGAAGGAAGTTCGCGGGGCTAGGTCTCCTCTTAGATGTGGGAATTGCTAAGATGTTGCCCGAGTTTTTCCCGCTAGGATGGGGCGTGGCAGAGGAAGAATGAGTCTGCAGGGGAAAAGGCCCTTCAAGTTCAAATGCCATGCGCTCCAGCAGAAGCGCAGCTGCCAATGTGGCAGGAAGCGGGGTGGCCGAGTCTGGGGCTGCAGGGAGGGCTGCCCTTAAGTTGCAGGTCTGGGCGCGTCGCGGGTAGGTAAGTGGTGTAACGCCGAAGCCCTGGGAGTAGATGAGACCGTCCAGACTCGGTGACAGAGTGAGGGGCTGGAGCAGAGAATGGGAACCGGCACTTGCACTGTCAGAGCAGCAGGAAGAAAACAAGGAGCTGCTGCCGGGGAGGAACCCCCCAAAATGGGAGGAGGGCAGCTGTCAATTATGCAGTTAGGAAGGAGTGTTCCTGTGGTTATGCACCTGTAAGAACTCGAGAAAGACACTTTAAAGGGCCCTTCTTTTGTCAATCAGAAAGTCACTGCAAAGGAAGTTGAGAGAGGCCGGATGTCAGGCAGACGCAGACCTACCGGAACGCGTAGACCTTTTCCTCCTTAGGAAACTCTGACCCCTCCCCATATCCAACTCCTGCCCCGAGGAGGGCCAGAGACGCCGACCCCGCGGTGGACGGAGGGAAGCCGAGCAGAGGAAGGGGGCGGAACCTGGGACGCGGGGGGGTGTGGGCAGGGTCGGACGGAACCAAGAACGGACGCCGGGCAGGAAGGCGGGATCCTCTAGCAAGACACAACCCGGCGGCACTACCCAGGGACCTCTGCTGGACCCACCTGCTGCATGTCAGCCACCGGCCCGGCTCTTCGGTCCCAGCCGAGTCAGCACCACGGCCCCGGCGGCGCCTCTGAGCGGAAGGGGATCTCGCGACGGCACCACTTCCGCCGCTGAGTCCGCCCCGGAGAGCGAACGGGGGCGTGCGCGGCTGAAGCCCCGCCCCCTAGTCCTCCAGCCCCAGCCCCAGGGGCCGGAAGTGGGGGCTGCTGCTGAAGTTAGACTTGCTGAGGGTCTTCCTGAGCGTGGGGGATGGGAAAGAAGCTCTTCATTGGGCCACATAGGCCTGGCGCAGTGGGAAAGGGGGAACTTCCTGAACAGAGGCCTGTGGTGCCCCGAGAACAGGATTTGGAGAGATCCACACTTTTACTCTTGAAACACTTCTATTCACTTCCCTCCCCAGCCTTTCAGCCTCCCTAGCAGCACCTAGAACTGGTGTGGTCATTCCTAAGAGTGCCCCCGGCTTGCTTTCTGCAGGAAGGACTCCTGGACTAGAGGACTGGACAGTAGGGTCGAGGCCCTGACTCTTTTATTTATTTACTTTTTTACATTTTAATTTATTAATTTATTTTTAATTCTCACCCAAGGATATTTTTCCATTGATTTTTACAGAGAGTGGAAGGGAGGAGAGACAGAAAGAAACATCGATGTGAGAGAGACACATGGATTGGTTGCACGCACACCTGACCTGGGGCCGGGGATGGCGCCTGCAACCGAGGTACGTGTCCTTAACCTGAATCGAACCCGGGACCCTTCAGTCCAAGGGCCAATACTCTATCCACTGAGCCAAACTGGCTAGGGCAAGGCGTTGACTCTTGGATGAACACCAACCAGGTCTTCCACGTGGGGAGGGGACCTCCTCCCTTTCCTTGTCCCTGAAAAAAGGAGTCTCCGCACAGTTATTTACAAAGATTTATTACAGCACAGGAGCGGTTCAGGTCTGGAGTCAGGGAAGAGGGGAAGGGGGCAGAGCAGCAGGAGGACAGAAGAACCTGGCTCCCCCCAACATGCGCCCCCCCCCTCAAGGATGTATACTAGGTGGCATTCCTGGCATCAAAGCACAAACAAAACGCAACAAAGCAGCCTCTGCCAGTCCGTCTTCCAGGCACCCAGGCTAGGGAACAGGGGTGACAGGGGGAAATTTCCAAAATGAAGAGACTGCGGAGAAGGGTGCCTGAATCCTCAGCCCTGGTAGAAGCCAGTAAGACGGGCGGTGACTGGGAATCCCCCATCGGAGGAGGGGATGGAGAAGGATCTAGGGCACCTACAGGTTCTCTGTACCCACTTCCTCAGATCCTAGGGTCCTGCCCTGTGGTTTTCCTGTGCCCAAGGGAGAGGGTCTGGAAGTAGAATGGTGAAGGATGGACCTCTGTCCCTCGATTACTGGATTTTCCAAGCAATTTCTCTCGCATCCTGCATCCCACTGGGTGAATAGGGGAATAACTGGCAGGGGTAGGCATCAGGCAGCAAGTGCCCAGGACTCTGGGCATCAGCCAAAAGTGGGCAAACAAGCAAACACAGACCAGCTTGAGTCTTCTAGAAGTCAGAAGCCGCAGCCCTAGCGAGTGAGGGGAAGGGTAGAAAACAGGGTGGGGATAGAGGGTTTCTGCCGAACAGTGATGCCCCCTCCACTTCCTTCTGGGAGATGCAGAGCTGAGTGCCTATGTGCCAGGCTCAGGGTGGGCAGGGCGCTGTGGGTCTTCCCCAGGCTCTGCAAGACAAGCAGAAGGACTCAAGGCCTGAACACGCCTACCAAGATCCCAGCTCCGCCTCCCCGCACCCCACTCCCAAGCCTCACCGCTTAGTGCGGGGTCTTTCGCTTGGTCCTCAGAGCTTCCATCTCTCTGGGGCTCATCCAGAGGGGGCGGGCGCTCCCAGGGCCCCTCCAGACCCTGGCCACAAGTTGTCTTCTGCCCAACTGGGGACGAGGGGAAAAAGGATGAAACCAGACTCTGAGTGTCCACCTGACTGTCCTGGATCAGGAGCTGAGTCTCTGATGGCTGAGGCTAAGCTTTCTGAGGCCATCATGGTATAGCAGAGAGAACAGTGGACGAGGGCAGCTCTGCCCATGACTAGCCATATGACTTAGATCAGCGGTCACCAACTGGTGGTCCGTGATGTCCGAAAGGTGGGCGACCGCTGACTTAGATAGTTCAGTGTATTACCTCTCTGAAGGGGGATGGTAAAAGTGAAATTGTGTAGATTACCTTCAATAAGATGATAAGGAATACCCTGCCCAACCCAGCGCTGGCACCCGGGAGCCTCTCTGGGAGTGGTGGCAATTGATATAGCTCCTCAGTAGTCTTGTCATTCAATCCACTGCCCTGTTGCATTTCTGGAGGGAACAATCTCCTCTATTCTTTCTATGTGTTCTGGAGGTTTCAGCAGGAGTTGACTTAACTCTTCCAGCTAGAGCTTTCGCTCCTGTGGCTGATGGGCTGATGTCCTGACAGCCAGAGATGCAGAGAGAAGGCCAAGACATTTTGTTTGGGTGTAAAGACTGGACACGTCAAGCAGGGACGGTCAATTGTTTTCAACCCCATGAATAATGGGACCAACAAGTGTCATGTGCACTTGGAGGAACAGATGTGGTGCAGCCTTCCATGTCGGGGCATGGGGCAGAGCCATGAAGGCCTGGGATCTCCCTGCTGAGAAATCCTCTGGGCCTTGGGGCCCCCCGTGGAAATGGCTGGATCTTGGGCCTCTGGCCCTGAGGCCCTCTCTGTAGGTCTTAGGCCCCTCTCTCTTCTCTTCCCAGGTAGCTGGGGCTGGAGGTGGGGAGGACCAGACGGTTCTTGAATCCTAGGTCCTCTGTCTAGACCAGCCGTGGGCAAACTACGGCCCGCGGGCCAGATCCGGCCCGTTTGAAATGAATAAAACTAAAAAAAAAAAAAAGGCCGTACCCTTTTATGTAATGATGTTTACTTTGAATTTATATTAGTTCACACAAACACTCCATCCATGCTTTTGTTCCGGCCCTCCGGTCCAGTTTAAGAACCCATTGTGGCCCTCGAGTCAAAAAGTTTGCCCACCCCTGGTCTAGACACTAGAGGGCACCCTCTCACTCAGCTTAGGAAATAAAAGAGGAGAACCAGTCTCAGAGTCCTGGAGAGGACTTACCAGCCCCCTCTGCCTCCCAACAGAGACCCCATCCTATGTTCAGAAGTGCAAGTGATGGGGCCATGGATGCTCTTAGTCCTCTACCCCTGCATCTCCTTGCACCCCTCACCACCATGGATGGGAAGTCCTTCCTTGGGTCCAGGCGCAAAGTTCATGTGGCCTTGCCTTAATTCTCAGGGAAGAGAGGAATTATTAGGAAAAACCTGATTGGGAGAGGGGCTGAGTCGAGGATGTGAGCTTCCCAGGTGTCAGGTAAGGCTGAGTGTGAGGTCTCCTGTGGGGCGAGAGTGATTGCACTTTACACGTGGGAGAAACTGTGACCTGGGGGGGGGGGGGGGGAAAGGGGGGGGGGGGATGTTGGTCCTAGGACACGCAAGGAGGACTCCGCCTGGCCCATGGTGGTGGGACCCAGCTTCACAGCCCCTTCAGCTTACCAGGCCCCCTGCTGCCCTTCAGGACTTCAGCCTGGCTGTCCTCCTCCTCCTCTTCCTCTTCATCGTCCTCCTCCTCTTCTTCCTCTCTTGGGTAGCCCAGCTCCCGCAGCTCCCCAAGCTCATCCTCCTCCTCCGAGGCCTGGTTCTCGCCCAGGTTGCTGATGGATTGCAGGTGAGACTCGGCAATGCGCTGCACAGCTGCCAGGGGGACACCCAGGAAGGCCGGGTCAGCCGGGCCCAAGAACCAGCCCCTGCAGCTGGAGAGGCTGTGGCCCAGCCCCCAGCCTCCTTTCATGGGCCTAAGTCAGAGCTCTCCCTCCCCCGCCCACCCCAGGGGCCTAGGTCAAAGGCTGAAGGCTACAGGCCTGTCTGCTGGGGGTCAGACCAGGGCTGAAGCAGCAGGGGGTAGACTCTTGATCAGATTTGGCTCTGAAGCTGTCCAAAGGTACTGGCGCCCCAGAGGTTGGCCCCAGGCCAGAGGGTATCAAGCCGGACAAGACCAGGCGGGCACAACAGCAGCTTAACATTCCCTGGCTGAGGAGCTTACTTCTCCAAGGACCTGGTACTGGACACAGTGTCTTTCAGCTACAACCCCAGGCAGAAGGCATAGAGCCCTTGGGCCAGGGCCCAGGGGATTTGTCCCTTTCAGTATCTGGAGAAGTGCCCAGAGGGCTTAGGGCTCACTGCTCACCCCGACCCTGCCCGCCCCTGTTGCCCTATTGCCGGGCTTGGTCAACACCCCCTGTGCCACTCCATGCACCTCTGCCCAGTCTCTAAGCGGTAGGAACAATCCTGAGACTGAGGACATAATAGTCTGCAGCCCGTGAAGTCTGTGCCTGGGGATGTGGTGTGCTCAACGCGGCCCCCACAATCTTGACCCACATCCCCAAGCTTCCAGCTCCCTCTGTGGTGACCTAGAAAGCAGCAAACACCACCAAGGCCTGCTGGGATTGGGCCTAGGAAGGGAACTGTGTGGGCAGTTGGAGACAAATTTCTAAAAGATGGAAAGGGCCAGGTGGTTCAGAGAAAGGGGCGAGGGCTGGGGGATTCTGGGAGAATGCCAGAGGTTGAGGGGACACTGTGAGCAGTGGCTGGGGCAGAGGCAGCAGGAGGCCAGGAGCCGGTGGGATTTTAGGGCATTTGGGTCACTCAACTCACAGCCCACAGACAAGATGCTGATGAGCTTAGGGCTGGGGTTGCCACAGTTCCTTCTTGGCCTGCAGGCAGCCCCTCCCTCAGAAAGCTCCGAGGGGTAGATCCAGGCTGGAAACCTCCGGTGCAGTGAGCAGGGCACCACAGTCTTGCCAACTCGGGGACAGGCACAGAGGGTGCATTGTGTGTGCCCACTGCCCCGCCCTGCCCGGTGCCTCCCGCTGGCTCTGGGCAAGCTACCCAGGCAATAAAAGCACAATAAATCGCCCTGCCCTGGCCTTGGGGGCGCGGCAAAGCTTCGCCTTGAGCCAAGTGTAAGAGCTAGGCCTGGGAGACCCCTTCAAGCCAAGACTCAGTGCTGGCCATCCCCTCCCAGGGGCCCTTGGCTTCTCCCCCTACCAACCCGACCCTGGCAGGTGCTCTCTCTTGCCCAGAAAGGGGTTGAAGCCTGCAAAACAGTGCCCTTCAGGTACAGAAGGGTCCTCTGAGGGCTGGAGGGAGGGGAGAAGGGAGGAGAGGAGGTGGCAGCTCCAGCAGCCTCCCTCGCCCCCAGCTGGAGGAGGTGAGTTCAGTTCGTGAGCCAGAGTGCCAACAATAGGTGTGCGCAGAGCCAATCTGGCACCCCGTGGGCCTCCCGCATGCACAGCGCCCCATGCGCCTGTGCCTCTCGGGGCTCTACCCCTCCCCCTCCCCACTGGCTCCTTTTTCTGTCTCCATCTCTAGGGCCCTGAACCCCACCCCCCACCAGGTCTCCTTGTTAAACTCAAAGGTCCCCAGCAC